AGAATTTTTAGAATTTAGTGACACACTGAGCAACAAAATCTAGAAATGCAAAACTTTTAGAGCAGACATTAGAAGCAGAATTTAGAAAGGCACTAGGCAGCAGAAAGGTTGCACAGAGATTGCATCAGGAGGGAAAATGCCTAGTGCCAGCTCGGTGTATGATGCATTAAGATATATTAGATGAATCTTTTAAAAGCCTAAGTTTTCAATTTTTTTATTAATAAAAAAATTCCCTTCTATAACGCCTGCCCATGTGAAAATATTATAAGCATTTTTGATCTTTTCCATACTTGTATCTAGTGAAAAGTAGAGAAAATAAAAGGAAGATAAACATGTTAAGGGAAAGATTCTAGTATCAAAAGTAAAACATTCAAATATCATGCTTTCAGTGTTCTTCCAGACGTTCTCCAAAAAGTAAGAAATTCATTGCAAACTTTCTGTAAAATACATCCATTACGATTCATTATACGGTTATATTTTGAATGGGTTCATGGGTAACAGAAGTTCAAGATAGTGAAAGATAGCTAAATTTGAGGATGATAGCCGATAATTTAAAAGGTTTTTCGGATATCACAAAACAACGGTGAAATTTTCCAATTAACGGATTTTGTAAAATGTGGAGAAGCGGTAATAAATGAAGATGATATAAAAGAAGTTTTTCATTGTGATGACAATGCTTCTCAATCATCAATCAATTAATGAATGGGGAAATCTGTAGTATGGTTCTAGATCCAGAAAATACCACTACATATCGTGAAGAAAGTGACAGAGAAGTTACTGAAACCGAGAAAATTTTGATTGACAAGTTAGTCGCAACTCTCCAAACAGCAGTTACAGGACTTCAACAATGTAATTGAAAAAGAGATTATGTCTGTCTACAGAATTAAAGAGAAAGTAGTAGCACAAAAAACGAAGCAACTTAAACAACTTACATTAAAAGAAATGTGTAATAAGGTAAACAAATAAATATTAAGCTTTTATTTTGAAAATTTTGATACCCTTTAGATCATAAATACTTCATTACATCATAAATCATGATTTCATAGTTTTAATTTTATAATTTCTACATGCCATCTTACTAGATTTAACTGATGATCTATCCAGAAAAATCTGAATCCAGAGTCGCTGAATCCGGAGTCGAGTCCGGATTTTGGACTTTAAACTGTATATATGTTTTACATTTGTATTTCATAAACTAAATCATAATTTAACCAAGATTAATTTTCAAAATTTTGCTTTTATATACTTATACTTCAGTTTTGATTTCCCGACAACCTTTTTTCATTGATCTAATTCTATATTGAGAAACAAAACTTTTACAAAATATTTTTGTATATTTTAACCTCAAAATAATAATTGATTTGATTTTAACCTTAAAATACATGTAGATTTGAAATATGTAATAAACAAATAAGCAATTTTTGAAAATATTTTAATAAAAAAGGGTTAAAATGGGATGTATAAAAATATGACACCTTAACATTTCCAACAGTTGCAGAATTATAGTAAAAATAAAATCCTCAATATTTAAAAAGTGCTAAATCTAACGAGAAAAACCAACATCCATCCATAGGAGACTTTATCTTTGGCCATAAACACTAGTATGCAGCTTTTAATTTCCAAAATGATAATAAATGAGCAAACATAAGCCAAGCAGAGAACAATCACAAATATCATTTATTTCCAAATCATGAGTGACCATTTTGATCCTCATCAATTATTCTTTTTAAGAGCACAAAATTTGGAGTTGATATGACAGATCAAATGGCCAGAAAATATACAGCTAGTTTTCGTAGATGGTCCCTCCAAATATTTTCCTACATTTTAGGTTTGGCTGCTATAAATGATTGGATCCTTTACAAAGAAACGACAGAAATACAAATACAACAAAAAGAGTTCTTGTTTCAATTAGCAGAACAGCTTTCCACTGAATACAGAGCTGCAAGACAGAAAAAGTCATAAGAACATAAAAAAGACCCACAAAGATTAACTGTAACCCATACTAATAAATGTAAAATTTGTCAAGTATGACTGCCACAACAACAAAACAAATAATATATGTGGAAAATGTCAAAAGTACATTTGCGGAAGATGTACACATAAAAAGATTTCCACTTTCACTTGCAAAAAATGGACAAATAGTAAATAATGCATAAGTTATTTTTTTTCCAAGTGAAGTAATTTTTTTATTGTTAATATTTACTAATAACTTGTTATAAATATATAAAAAATATTAAAAATTAATTTTAAATAAATTTCTTTACACATTAGTTATTTTTGGCTTTGGGGATACCTAAAGAATGTTGTTTACAGTGGGTGCATTGGGAATCTAGCAAACTTGAAGGCGAGCATCACGCACCACATTCATACCATCAGCACAGATAGAGCTAACTGTTGTGGAACATGCCGTTTTGAGCTTCTAACTAGTAGTGGAATAAGGCGGAGGCCATATTGAACAACTTTATGCGTTAGTCATCTGTAAGGTGTTCGTTTCGTGAAGCTCCTCTTTTTCTCTTGTCACTATCATTGTTTTTGCTGTACACATGTATTCTTTAAACCTTTCACAGTGAAAATGTCATTTCGCCTGTTGTAAACCCTTGGAGTCTTATTTCCTTTTGGCTAACAACATTCCTGTGTTTAACGATTAGGTCTTATCCCTGATAGCACCACTTATCGGTACATTTTGGAACTATTTTTTTCTTCGCCAAACAAAATTCCATTATCTCACGATTGTTCTAGTAAAATATAATGTCACTCTGACGGGTAGTTTTAAAGTTAGAGCATTTTGAAATCGCAACTTTAATTATAATCACCCTGTATAAAATAGCTCAAGTATCACACCACAATGATAAATAATAAAAAAGAACACACATTCATAAAGTAAGAATCAGAATAAATGAACATGGGAACAAAAGTAAAAAGTTCAAAAAGTTCTGGCATTCCAATATAGTTTACTTATCTCACCAGGTCTCCGAGACTCTTTATTTAGTTCTGGGCATATAAGAATATGCTCTGTATTCCTGTTGCTCGAATTGCAAATCTAGCATATACAGTCAAAAGTCGTTAATCCGGACACCCATAATCCAGAATGATCTATTAATCCGGACCTCAAAGCTACAAACTTTCTGCGCATGTGTCAAAGCATGATGTGTTCACGCATGTGCATAATATGTATACGCATGCGCGTTTAATGTATAACGGACGGTAGAAGCTAAGTTAAAATTATCTAATTATCTATTTCAGTTAATGTTGCAGATTGCGTAGTTCCTTAATCTTCGAATTAGATCCGGCTTATTATTTTTTGCAGACTGTTAGAGCAATTTTATAAAAGTAAGCTTGAACTTTCGATTATGTCAAATAGAATTTCTGATGCTGGACCTGCCAAAGCGAAAGTATGTTTCAATGTCCACCAAACAAAAAGTGGAATTGCTGCAAAAAATGGATAAAGGCATGTCCTTTGTTTCTCTAACCATTCCGAAATCTGTTTATCAATTTCACACTGCTCTGCTGGGGGGGGGGAACATCGCGGCACGCAATGAATTGGAAGTTGATCTGTCAGCACTATCCTTATCTTCAGGGCAGATGTTTTTATTTTATTTGGCTTATAATTCCTTACCTAATGTAGTATTTCATCTCGCTGTACTCCGTCTTTAATATGATTTAAATCAATTCCTCGTCATTATAATTCGCTTCCTATAGTGAAGAAAGTGACACAGAGGTTATTAAAAATGAAAAAATTTCGATTGACAAATTAGTCAGTTTTCTCGACACAGCAATTATAGGACTTGAACAGTGGAACTTTGCAACTGAACAAGAAATTATGTCTGTTTATAGAATTAAAGAGAAAGTATTATCACATAAAACGAAGCAACTTAAACAACTTACATTGAAAGAAATGTTTAATAAAGTAAACAAATAAATATTAAGCTTTTTTCTTTTTTTGTAAATTTTGATACCCTTTAGATCATAATTGTTCTTTATTTCATAAATTACAGTTTCATATTTTTACTTTTATAATTTCTGCATGCTATCTTACCAGATTTAAACTGATGATCTATAATCCGGAATCGCCGAAGTCCTGACGAGTCCGGATTAAAGACTTTTGACTGTACTAGATGAAAGGATGCCAATTTTATTAAGATGATGTGAAATGCAATCATGACCTGTTCACAGTCTAAGTTTGCCACCTCTTTAGGGGTCTGGAACGTTAGCCCAGGATTTGCCTGTTGATTTTGCTGCTTGGTCAGATTTATGAGTATCCATTACTTTCTCAAAATTATGCTTTTATGAGGGAGGCAAAGTTATTCATGTCTGTGATATCCTTAATTCACACGTGCCTCCTGGGTGGTGCTAAATGAGTAAAAGCTATGACTAAGGTGGCTCAGAGTAAAGCAAACAAAGCAAAGAGCTCTTGTTTTTCTATCCTCCAGTGGAATGCTGGAAGATTATCTCATTTCTTCTGCAATCACTTCACACACATCAAGCACATACTTCAAACACTTGGAAATATGAATGTTTAATAAACTATAATTTCCTACAGTATATATTATTCCTAAATAACAAAAAATTTATTTCTCAGACTATGTAATGTATTACAAAATTTCAGGATTAAAAACCAAACTTAGAAACCTAAATTTTTTGAGATAATAAATATAGATTCATCCATTGCATTTACTAAAATTTAAAATTAATAAGAGCAATTTTATTTCCTTGTGTCTTAAAATAACAGAAAATTAATTTGGAATTTAAAACAATTAATTATCGAAAAGAAAATTACATTACTAACCACACTTTAAAACAGTAAAAAAAAAGTGGAATTGCTGCAAAAAATGGATATCTGAAGTCTTCTCACTTTTATTTATAAAAAATTTCATTCTTGCTCTTAAAAAAAAAACTCAAATCATAAATTTTTATTTCTGTTTCCAACCTGATTTAAGTATAAATAAGATTAAACTTTTTGAAGGAACAAATAATAAGATTTTCGTGCAAAATTACTTTACCAGATCAGCTTGAATGGAACCCTTTTTTTTTGAAGTTCGCTTGGCTTTATTGGTCCCTGGATGCGTAACTGTTACTTGTTTTGGTCGTGCAGCATCTCCACTGCCTAATGAGCCTGAACTCAGCTTCTTTTCCTACCACACACAAACAAAAAAAGAGAGAGTGATGAATATGTCATTAGCCAGAATTTATTACAGCAATACATTCAAAGATTGATTATTAATGAAAAGTCACACATAAAGACCTTTTTGCTTACTAATGCAAGTTGTACAAAAAATCACAAAATGAAGCTGGATTTTGGAGATGGTATTCAACTGCAATGCAATGAGATTTTAAGCATCTTTGAGTAAATTTTAGTTAGTGGCATAATTTTCTCAATAAAGCAGTTAATTCTTTTACTTTTTGAATTTTAAATCTGTAGAGTAGTAGTTTTCAGACTGAGTAGAGATTTCAGACTTTTGAATGCATTCAACAACAAGAAAAAAAAAATCAGATATTGGTGACATTTGCACCTAGCAAAGGGAAAAGGAAAAATACAACACATAATAAAAGACGAAAAAATATGAAAAACCCGATGTTTACTTAGTCCATTTTTTTAGAAAAAAAAATTTAATATACATTTTCAGCACAAAATCTTGCTTATTTCATTTTTCAAAATACATTATTCACCATCACTCATCAGCCTCTCACTTTCTAATATAATGTATCCTCTCATTGAATTCAATATATGTATACATTTGAAAATCCACATGAGCATAAAAAAGTTAATTAAACTTATAATAAATTAACTGAGTTAATCACTGTTATCCTTAAAATAGCATAACAAATAAAAGCACACTGCTAAGATACATTTTATGAACTTGTACCGATAATAAAATATATCACAGTAGCGTATGTTAACAACTGACACGCAGCTCAATTAAAGCATGAAGGTCTATTTCAAGTAACTTAGATTTTCATACTAAAAAAAAAAATTCCAGCAATTAAAAACCAATTTGTACTTTGCAATGCAGAAACATACCTATATTTAAAAGACTAAGTAATCTCCTTCTGGGTTTTCCCCTCAATATTAACTAGTGGCTATGGTAGACACTGCTTAATGTGATTGCATTTAATGTTATCATTTGGATATTGTTATTGAATTGCCGAAGTTCTGCTTATTTTTTGTACACGAACACATAAAAAACAAATCGATTACTGGGATCAACAATCTGGTTAATAGTCAAAGTATTATTGAAAAAAAAAAAAAAAATTCAATGGAGTAAAGTTGCCAATTATCACCAAGAGATTATAAAAATTGTTATGCATCAAAAAAATGTCACCCAGTAAGCATATAAGTAATACAGACAAAAGTCTTTAATTCAGACCTCAAAGCTACAAACTTTCTGCGCATGCGTGTTTAATGTATAACGGATGGTATAAGCTAAACTAATTATCTAATTCAGTTAGTGTTGCAGATTGTGTTGTTTCTTAATCCTCGAATTGGATCCAGCTTATTTTTTTTGCAGTGTTAGAGTAATTTTATAAAAGTAAGCTTGAACTTTCGATTATGTCAAATAGAATTTCCCATTCTGGAGTTGCCAAAGGATCTACAAAGCGAAAGCACGTTTCGACGTCCATTAAACAAAAAGTGGAATTGCTTCAAAAAATGGATAAAGACATGAAGAATGTGACAGAGAGATGATTTGTTTCTCTAACCATTCCGAAATCTGTTTATCAATTTCGCGCTGCTCTGCGGAGGACAACGTTGCAGTGCGCAATGAACTGGAAGTTGATCTGTCAGCACTATTCTCATCTTCAGGGCAGATGTTTTTTATTTTATTCGGTTTATAATTGCTTACTAAATGTAGCGTTTCATCTCGATGTACTCTGATATAATTTAAATTAATTTCCTCGTCATTATAAATATCACAAATACGCATAAAATAGTTTTCTGTTTACAATTTTCTAATTTCGGCTATGCGTAACGTATGCTTTACACATGTGCGCATTGAAAGAAATATTTAATAAAGTAAACAAATAAATATTAAGCTCTTTTTTTTTTGTAAATTTTGACACCCTTTAGATCACAATTGCTCTTTATTTCATAAATTACGATTTCTTGTTTTAATTGCATAATTTCTGCATGCCATCTTACCAGATTTAAACTGATGATCTATAATCCGGAATCGCCGAAGTCCCGACGAGTCCAGATTAAAGACTCTTGACTGTATCACCAAACACAGCTTGCTTTTAATTTTTGTTAGCTATTCAAAATCAGGCAAAAAAAAAGCAACTTTAGTTTGGCTTGGATTTTGAATCACTCTTACCAATTTGTTGTAGATAAGGGTAAGGCAGTTTGCCTTATTTGCAACAACAGTGTAGCTGTGATGAAGGAATACAGCATTAAGAGACATTATGATACTAAGCACAGTGAGAAATACTCTGCACTGGAAGCTCATTTTTGAAATTATAAGGTGAGTTTATTAAAACCAAAACTAAATTTTCAGCAGTCTTTCTTCACCACAGACAATCTGAAAATAGTGTTCGTGTTAGTTACATGATATCAGAAAAAAATTGCTAAGCGTGGGAAAACCCTTTGCTGATGGAGAATTTGTAAAAGAATGTCTTCAGAGTGCAGTTGATGTGATTTGTCCATCACAGGCTTATCGAAGTCATATTGAATATTACCTTGTCTGATGCGACAGTAGTGAGACGCATAGAGGATCTTGGAACAGATATATTCGTAAATTAAAATCCAAATGCAAAATATTTGAGTTTTATTCTGTAGTGACGGATGACTCAACAGATACTGCACAAGTAGCCATTTTTATTCGTGGTGTGGATAGACTTCACAATTGTAGAGGAATTAGCCGGTGTCATTGGACTTACCGTCATTTATTAGCCGGTGTCATTATGATTTTTGCTGCACTTATCGGTGTAGTTGCACTTAAAGGTACAACACAAGGAACAGAACTGTATTCGAGTCTGACACAAACCTTGAATAAATGCGAGTTAAACTTCAGTAATATATCTGCTATAACCACTGATGGTGCTAAATCTATGACTGGATAGTAAATAGGAGTAATAACATTACTACTATTTTCTGATGTGAAGGCAAGTGGAAATAATACTATGACGATTTTTCACTGCATCATCCACCAAGAAAACTTGTGCAAGAAGTCCTTCTCAACCTTTGAACATATGATGAATATTGTTGTAAAAATGGTTAATTTTATTCGGTCTAAAGATCTTAATCACAGGCATTTTCAACAGTTCTTGAGTGATTTGGAAGCTGAATATGGTGATGTGTATTACGTTGAAGTACGTTGGTTGAGCCGAGGAAAGATACTTCAGTGCCTGTTTTCTTTGAAGAGCCAAGTTCAACAATTCATGGAATCTAAAGGGAAATCTATTCATGAGCTCAGTGATGAGAAATGGTTGAGAGACTTCGCATTTCTCGTCGATATTACAGGTCATCTCAATAATTTGAGTACCGCTTAATGGGAAAAGATCTACTTGTTCATAATATTTATTACTTTGTAAAAGCTTTTGAGACAAAATTAATCCTGTGGGAAAGTCAGTTGCTAAATAAGAATTCCACTCACTTTCCAAAATTGATGCAGTGTGCAAAGAACTCTAGATCATAGAATTCAAATAATTATATACAATGCATTTCAAATTTGAAAGAGGAATTCAAAACCCGATTTTCGTGAAAATGAAATTTTTATCAGAATGTTCTCCCCGCCATTTTCAGTAGATATCAGAAGTGTTCCACCTGAACTTCAATTACAATTTATAGGTTTAAAGTGCGACTCTGCAGTAAAACACAGGTTTCTTAAAAATCCTACATTAATTAATTTTTATTCGAAGTATGTGACAGAAGACAAATATCCAGGAATTCATAAATATGCACTCTTCATGTCTACTACCTTTGGCAGTACTTACATATGTGAACAGCTTTTTAGTAAAACGAAAATCCTGAAATCAAAAACAAGACGGCTGACAGACAGACATTTGGAGGAAACTTTACAAATTGCAAAAACAGAGATTAAACTGGGTATTGACGCTTTAATAAATCAAAAATTAATGTCAAATTTCACATTAAAACTAAAGCAACTACAGTCAAAAGTCTTTAGTCGGGACTTCGACGATTCCGGATTATCGATTTTTCCGGATTATAGATCATCAGTTTAAATCTGGTAAGATGCATGCAAAAGTGATAAAATTAAAAATATGAAACCGTAATTTATGAAATAAAGAACAATTATGATCTAAAGGGTATCAAAATTTACCAAAAAAAAGGTTTAATATTTATTTGTTTACTTTATTAAACATTTCTTTCAATGTTTGTTTAAGTTGCTTAGTTTTACGTGATAATACTTTCTCTTTAATTCTATAAACAGACATAATTTCTTGTTCAGTTACAAAGTTCCGCTGTTCAAGTCCTATAATTGCTGTGTCGAGAATACTGACTAATTCGTCAAACGTAATGTTTTCGTTTTCAATAACCTCTGTGTCACTTTCTTCAGTATCGGAAGCGAATTATAATGATGAGGAATTTGATTTAAATCATATCAAAGACACAGTACATCGAGATGAAATACTACATTTATTAAGGAATTATAAGCCAAATGAAATAAAAACATAGACAGGGAAACAAGATAAGGATAGTGCTGACAGATAAACTTCCAGTTCATTGCGCGCCGCGACGTTTCCCTTCCCCACAGAGCAGCGTAAAATTGATAAACAGATTTCGGAATGGTTAGAGAAACAAAGGATATGCCTTTATCCATTTTTTGCAGCAATTCCACTTTTTGTTTGATGGACATTGAAACATACTTTCGCTTTGTAGATCCTTTGGCAGCTCCAGCATCGGAAATTCTATTTGACATAATCGGAAGTTCAAGCTTACCTTTATAAAATTGCTCTAACAGTCTGCAAAAAATAACAAGCCGGATCCAATTCGAAGATTAAGGAACAACACAATCTGCAACATTAACTGAAATAGATAATTAGATAATTTTAGCTTAGCTTATACCGTCCGTTATATACATTAAACGTGCATGCGTGAATGTATTATGCGCATGCTTAAAGGTTTTATGCACATACGTAAACTCCTGTGCGCATGCACCAATGCATACGCATGTGCAGAAAGTTTGTAGCTTTGAGGTCCGGATTATAGATCATTCCGGATTATGGGCGCTCGGATTAACAACTTTTGACTGTACCATCTCCTGCCAGTAATGTAAGTTTTTTGTTTATTTATTATTTTTTATTGTAAATGCATTTTGTAACATCATTTAGTACATCACTTCTTTCCCCATATTTTAAAAAAGTCAAAAACATTTTAATTCAATTCGATTTGACTTTTTAGAACAATGTATTTATCCAAATACAAGGTATAAAATCCTTAAAAATTGTATCTGCAAAAAACTCCTTTTTTATAACATTTTCTGACTACACTATTCTTTTGACAGACATGTTCTGCGGATCTTTCTGAATTTATTGATGAGTGACCTCAGGAGTGAAAGGTTGTAGAGCCCTATTTTAAACTATTCCACCCATATTTTTCTCTTCATGCTTTGATTTTATAAGTGGTATCAACAGACACTACCTACATTTAACAAACACACTATGGAGATAGGAACTACATGGACCACAAATTCTCAACTGATAAATAAATGCATGTTCATATAAATAAAAGTATGGAGTTGATCCTCAGTGAAATATAGTTCATATTTTCCAAAAATATTCTAGAAATAAAATCATCTAATACTAATACCCTTGCAAAATCTCCCCACGGGAAAGCTAAATTATATTTCTCTTCCATCTAATCTGAGAGTATTGGATATACCAGAAAGCATACCATCTGAAAAAAAGGGATACTGTTCCGTTATCAGAGAGGGGAGCAGGTTCAGAAATGTACGTATGTATGCATGTATGATATGTATACATTCACATAATGTTAGTACAAATGTATATGTGTGTATACATACAAATACAGTATTAAGTCCGGATCCTGACTTGTAGGGACTTCAGCCATTTAGGATTTTTCTGGATATTAGACCATCAATTCAAATTTAGTAAGATGGCATGAAGAAATTATACAATTAAAAATATGAAATCACAATTTATGAAATAAAGATCATTTATGATGCAAAGGGTCAAAATTTACAGGAAAAAAAGCTTAACATTTATTATTTTTATTTTACTAAACATTTCTTTCAATGTAATTTTTTTTTTTTTTTTTTTTTTGTGCTAATACTTTCTCTTTAATTCTATAAATAGGCATAATTTCTTGTTCAATTACAAAGTTCCACTGTTCAAGTCCTGTAATTGCTGCGTCGAGAACTCCGACTAACTTGTCAATCCAAATTTTTTCGTTTTCAGTAACCTCTCTGTCACTTTGTTCACTATCAGTAGCAGCATTTTCTGGATCTAGACCCATCCTACAGATATCGTCGTCCGTTAATTGATTGATTGGGGGATTATCATCCCAATGAAAAACTTCTGTTATATTATCTTCATATACTACCGCTTCTCCACATTTCTTTACAAAATCCATTAACTGGAAAATTTCACCTTTGGTTTGCAATATCCGAAAACCTTCAAATTCACGGCTATCATCTTCATCATCCTCACCATGAAATACGGTATCTGGCCATAAATTATGCCAAACATTTTTTAAAGTATCTGGAGACACATCCTCTCACAATCTTGTGATGACCCAGGCAGCAGATTTTATGCTAAAATATTTTTTAAATTCTTGAATAGTCTTGCCATTGTTCAAAAAACTTAACATGGATTTTAAAAGCGCTACATGTTGTCCGTTGAAAAGTTTGCTGATAATACAATGGTTCAGTAAAAGCATAACTGATAACTTAAAAGTGAAATCCGACAGTCGTAAATCCAAAATCTAACCTACATAATTCACAATTCTACCCAGTCTCTCACTGGCAGGGAGTGGCAGTAGAACCAGTGCAATTGCACCAGGCAGCAACTCTTTTAAAACTTAGGAGTAAACTGGATGACAAAAAGCCCAGCACTGGCCTTGCTTATCAGCACATTACTATGAATGTGTAACTTCAGCCACTGTTTAAATGCCTCAAAATGATGAGATTATCTCCCCAGTATCCAGATTTAAACACTATTGAAACTATTTGGCAGATATGGCACATAAAAATTAAAAAACAACATGTGTCTTTAATCCTCTCAGCACCATGATCGGCTTTATCCAGTCACGATATATTTTTTTTTTTTTTTGTCACTTGTTATATTAGCTTATAATTTAAGATATTTTGCTTTCTTACTTTCATTAATAATATAAATACCATCTTGATTAATGTAAGTTTATGAAAATAGCGACTAAAATAGGTAAATATACATATTTAGCTAATAAAGGCTCTTTATTTACACGTCTTCATGAGAGATCCAAAAACCTGGGCCGCTCAGAGGGTTAAAACACTGATTAAAACTAGTATTACTAAATGAGTGGAGAAAAATTAGACCAGAAATAACAAAGTTTAATAGACAGAGCTAGATAGCCAAGCAAAATAAGTACATGATTAGCACATCAAGGAAAAGGGACACCATAAAATTTCTCACGTTTTTATCACAGAATTTGTAGTGCAGCTTAATTGATATCAAAAGAGAAGGAATGGGGAGAATTAATGGATTGAACAGCAGACGCATGTTGGGAGGGGGCACCAAAAACATTTAAATGCTTAAGACATCTAAAGTCTTAATCCAGCCCAGCTATCAGAATGCACTAAGAAAAATTAAACCATTTCTTAAAAGCTAATGGCAATCCCCCCCCCCAAATTTGTTTTAACTGTTTAAAATTTTTATTTGATTGAACATTAAGTGCCTGATCACTTCTGTGGCATGACTTTACAGCTTAGAACAGACAGTTATTTTTGAAAAAAATTACTTAATATTAATATTCAGACTGGGTTATATAAATTTCACAGATTTTTATAGTTTGTTTAGAGTAGGTAAATTGGCGCTTTGCAGAAGAAAAACCCTGTAAATTTTTTATGTCACCCTTCGGAAACTTCAAAGTAGTCGTTTACTTTTGGGAGACATTATATGTAATTCTAATCATACATTTATTCATCCCCGTGGTATCCAAGTTTGGCGCGTTTCCAGGTATTAATAGAAATTTTATAGCAACGATATTTATATTTCAATATTGTTATGCTCTACAGGTTTTTATTTGCCAAATATACTTTATCAGATTTTTAATATAACACTGCTTTCTTAGGCCTTCCCAAGACATTAAAAAAAAAAAAAAAAAAAAAAAAATTCTTTAAGCTTTAACTCAAACGTTTCCTGAGGCTTAATAAATAATTAAATCATGGGAGGGGGGACGTAAAATTTTAGATTTATACTACCGCGTGATTTAGAATGTAAGTAAATACTTTATTATCATCTTACTTTTCCACCATCTTTGGTACTCGATCCTGACGACTCTGGTTCGTGAGGTTCGGATTCCCCAACATGCGACAAATTTAATTTTTCCAACATTGCTGAACAAGAAGAATTTGTAAACGTTCCTGGGCTACTTCCACATGTACTCTCCGTATCAGGAGTACTAGGACTAACATTAGGGCTAACAGGTCCGAATGGGATACTGCTCGACGATCCTGCAGAAGCACAGCTACTATCCCCGCGATAATCAGCGAGTCTTTCTGCGGCTACTGAGGAACTTGATGAATTATCTGAGCGAGATTTTGAGGATTTCCGCATAGTTCGGAAAGCTATCCAGAAGTTTTCTGAGATCACAATTTGTCAAATATACCCAAGATCAAAAATTATCCGGCTAAACGAGAATAACTGGATCAACATGGATTCTCCTTCTTCAAAACAACGTACCACGATGATGATGATGATGATTAAACATTCATCTTCTTTGTTCACCTGTTCAGGTCTGGCTTTAGAAATGGAATAAGAATTCTGATAACCCTTTGTAAACATTATTTACCAATCTCAACAGGTTATTTTAAAAGTAATCGTTGTACTTCCTAGATTTTAACTGCACTGTATAATCATGTATTACTATTATTACTTAATATTTTTGAATTAAATTAACGTTTTTGAATTCTCACAAAATTTTGTATACTGATTTTGTCAAAATAAAATTACTATATTTTGAATAACTTGTTGAAAAGCGGGGGGGGGAACCCTCATGGGATTAGATCACTGGGTGAGTGACAGCAGTTAATCATAAGAAGCCTACCAACCCTTGTCAAGGTTCTTTAATTGGAAAATGATACTTATTTGCATTAAAATTGTAAATTATCTATCAGCGTACTATATTCAATTGTTACGTTTGAAGAAATATTAGATAAACAACTTGATTATAAACAGCATGTGATATCTTGACGATGTGACAAACAGTTGTATTAGGCGCATTTATGACAGAATTCAACGGCATCAGTAAAACTTAACTGGGTTGTTCGCAAGACGTATTCACATTTAAATGATTGTACAAAAAATGTTATACATTAGCCAACAGTGATTTCCATAAGAAAGCAATCCATTAAATGATAAATTCAGATGAAGGAACCAGAATCTGACTGCGTAGTGCATCTGTGTACATAAAAATTATGAAACATTCACAAATTTTCCTTATTTATAAATGGCTATGTATTGTTTAGTAATTTAAAATTACTTGTGCAATTGCTTTTTATAATAAAATATAAATAATTTCATCATTTTTCTTGACTTTATGACAATTAAACGTCTATTTATAACTAATAAATTCTCTCTGATAAAAGATAAACTGCATTTATTTAGTTGTTATGCATGAAAATATTTTCTGATTTGTTAAACATAAATATCAGATTTCTCACTTGTTAAATGTCTTATAAGTTTCAATATATGCTTGTTCAACATTTGCACTTTGCTTTTCATCAAGGGGAAAAAATAATCTGTATGACGGTAGGCATAGGCATCTTTTGTTTTAAAATTTCTGTGATTAGCAGTACGAAAAGTGCATTTTATTGTGTGCGTGCTTGCATTCTTGATCACGTTAACACTAAAATATGTTTAAAAGTACAGGGAAAACTAGAGAGTTTAGCATATAAAAAATTGCAATTTATGGTAGAAAAGCCAAATGAATGGAAGATGAAACTTCTGGTCTAAATTATAGAAACACTTATCTGATTTGTTATCAGCTTGACAATCAAAAGCCTACATTTAACATCATATAAGATTTCGAAGGAAATGTATGCGACTAATCTTTGGAACAGTGAAGTAGCGAGCATAACTGGCGCTCGGGGCAAAATACCTTTTTGGCGCCGCCCCCGGGAAAAAACACAGTGATATGATGAAAATCTTGATGAAAAACATTTGGCTCCCCTCTGCGAGCGGCGCCCGGGGCATCATACACCCCCTTGCCCTCCTCGCTACGCCACTGCTTTAGAATATGGCAACAGGTTACATGCATACTTTCATGAGGACTTTTATGGCGTTAAAAACTACTAGTAGATATTCTGAAGAATGATCAGCAGCAAAATAAAAATTTTCAGGTCACAATTTTATTCACATGTACAGCAACCTACCAAATACAGTTTTATATTTGAAGCAAAGAAACTAACATATTTTCAACCACTTTTTATAAATTAAAAAAATACGTTCCATAATTTAAATTTTATTTACCAAATATGCATAAAATCAGAGCCATGCTGAAGTATTTTTTTCATGAGATAAATGTGCCCCTTTATATATAGTCAAACTAACTATATTTCCATCATATTTTTATATTCAACAAATGTAGCTATATTAAATCCTATCGTAACTGTTATAACATTTTTTAATCATAACTTTATACATTCAAAAAATAATACACGTTGCTACTTTTAATTTTTAAAGGAAAACTTTAAAAAATACCTGTTAGATAAATAGCAAATATTGCTGAGATACTAATAACTAATAATACAATTAACACAAAGAGTGTTTGCTGAAGCTTTTTTAATCCTAAAAGTAGTAATATTCAATTCTAAAAATATTCTTAATATAGTTTTTAAATTCAGATGAGATTAAACTAAATTGTACTCCTGAATTATCCTGAAAAGACGTAACCTTTGTCTACAAAACTGAATAATAATTCTATTCTGAAATGACTCAGTTTCTGAAATTAGATATTTTCTGACGAAATTTCTAGAGCCTTTATATCATTTGGAAATTTAAGTGCGAGTTAAAAGGTTTTCATTTAAAAATACACAAGTTCGATAACATCAAATTTTCACCAATTAGAAACTAAAAAATATATCGCTTATTTTTCATATCTTTATTTTAACTGCAAGATTAAAGAGACCACATTTTTCTCTTTTTTTACTATTGCATTTGAATATTTGGTGTTCTTTGAAGAACCTTAGAGTTATGCATAGTGGTCGGTGTAAAACGAAGGTTTTCTACAGAAGTATAAACTCCACTAAGTTGAAAAATTAACATAAAATTGAATCGGTGACTTCTATCCTTAAGATTTAACAACATAGATGAATTTACGTGTCAGACCTTTGACACATTAATGAACTTATACGATGGATAACGTACGAATGTACTAGATTGGTACAACGTGATTTGATCCTGCTTAACAGTCCTTTTCATATAGGCATATTTGGCGATGTAAAACGATAATCCAGAATGCTTATGTAGATTCTTATTTCCACTGCGCTGTTCCTTACTAGGACTCCTTGCCTCACGTTTCTGCATCACGCTTGAGAGAATCACAGCTGCTGGCTACGTTGGCAAACATCATCATATAGGCGTAACAATGATGTCAGACTTCAGTACCATCAGAATTTGGAAGACCGTCTGTCCGTCTTTTTCTCCGTTTTTCGCCGCCTTCGTCGGAAGGAACCATCCGCACAATTATACAGTTCGCCTTTTCTGCTCAGCGCAATAGAGAACGGGAGAAGTGCAAATATTTATTTCTAACATTTACTATAGAAACACTTTTCTGAAATATTTTGACAATTTAGTTTCTTAACCTTCCTCTTGCCATTTCTTTTCAGCTGATGATGTATTCATTTTTAAAGCTTCGCATTCCTTAACAATATTTTTTCTCACCTTTTTTAAAGAGCAGAGTAATATTTCTGCTACTTAATTCACTTTGGCTAAGGAGAAGGATGCTTTTGAAAAGATTTTCTAAAGGAGAATAGTCCTGCATTTACGTTAGAAAGCGGGGAAACCATTAAAATACCCATCTAGCTAATCCTTTCGACAGGATTCGATATTAATCGCTCTCTTAAGTATGCAGTTTTATGTATAGTTAAAGATTTTGATTTCAAGGCTTTGTGTACAGTTTCTGATTCTTGCAGTATTAAATTCCACGAAGCATGCAGAGAACTGAAAACTGATTCGCTCGAAGGGGCTATTAGTTTTATTGCAATGATTTACCTTCTGTACCTCATTTGATCAATTTGTACATATATAAAGCAATAATAATGAACTAAAACCTGCACTCTTAAAAAAAAAGCACCAGGCACCCTTAAAAAATAATCCGATCATCTCGGAATTTTGTGGAAAATAATCCGCGAATGCATATTTTACCTGGGGCAGATAATCCTTAATTGCTTTGCCATAAACTAAATAAACAAATCCATTCCTGTAAAATGCGCAGAAAAACAGTATGGAATTCATTAATGGTTTGGTTTGGTTTGGCTTATTGGATTACGGCAAAGCATGCAAGAGTTATCTGCTTAACAGGAATAATTCCTTCATGGAAGATTTTCTAAAGGAAAATTAACATTAAACATGGGGAAAAACACGAAAATGCCCATGAAGTCAGTCCGTTTGTCTCGAATTAAGCCCAGGTAGAACGCATATTCACAAGGCCTACAGACAAAGCCGCCTGAAATAGGCTTTATCTTCAGGGGGCTTTGCTACAGACCGTTTCTTCTACCGTTTGCTCCGATTGGGTAAAACAGGAAACGTAGGGTTACAGAATCTTGTGCTTGGCGACTTTTGCTTCGCCTTTACTATTTGTATATGAGTATTGTGTGCGAAAAAGTGTGCAGAAGCCGTCGGTAAACCGCAGCTCAGTGGTAACGAACACAGAAGCAATTTTCGGACTTCTAGATCGCCGGTTTTATCCTCGCTTGTGATTTTTATTAACTTTCCCCTGCACGGATTTATTTTTATCCTAACATTACTGAATGACTTTGTCATTATTTGTCTTTTCACCGTCGGGGTGCAGTGTTAAAAATTTAACACCTTTATTTTCTCTATTTATATATTAATGCTAATTTTTCTTATTTTTATTTACTGGTTTATACTCTTTGTAGTAGGTACCAGTAGCAAGATTACAATCCAAGATCCCGAAAAGCGTTTCAATAGAAATAGCGCATAATGGAATAAAATATAGTTTTAGTTATACTTACTTATAATTTGGGTAAAACGAATAGGTCACTGACGCCCTTAAATGTTTAATGAATGTTTTCATTTGGTTAATTTTTTAATATTCCTTTATTTGTATAAATTAATGCTCTATGGAAAATTTACACGACAGACTCCTTCTAACAGAAATGACGAAAAAGTACATATGCCATTTCAATGTAAACACTTTTTCTTGCAAAATAATTATCGTACTTTTAATAGTTTAAATTCAAATACAAATAAACTATTAATAAGATCAGTAGGTTATTAAAAATATATTCCACACAATTCCCCTTAGCTTTCATTCATAAAACAAAAAATTATTGAATGAAATAAACGATGTTCTTCTCGCTGTACCCACCAGCTGCCGAGCGGTAAAGCCCACCAGCGGTAGAGTGGTAGAGCCCACCAGCGGCCGAGCGGTAAAGTCGCTGAACAGTGGTAGTTCGGTCCGAGGTTTGAATCCCGCAAACGGGCTAGCTGCATGGGTGTTTTCGTGTTTTTCTCCATGTGTAACGTGTATACGAGCCAGTTTTCCTTAGAAAGTCCTCCACGAAGGCATCCCACCCCTTAGGCAGATAGCCCTCGAGGCTTTGCCGTAATTAAATAACCTAACCTAACCTCGCTGGACTGAAAGCCCACAAAGGGCCCACCAGCGGCTGAGCGGGAAAGTCGCTGAACACTGG